AATGCACACATGAAGTCTAACACATTGACCCTGATAAAATTTAGAGAATTGAAATTGAAATGGATGTCATGGTTCATATAAGTTGATTTGAATACAAAGGACAAAATCGAACTTTCTTAATGATAAATTGGTGACACCAGCCTAAGCTAATCAGGTAAGTGGCCTTACTATCAGCATGGTTATATTTGATGCTGACACGTGCCCTGTGGTTCTGCACGTGTCATATATATTGATATGTGTGAATTGTTTATTGATCGATATGCTTATGATACGATATTGATATGTTATAATATGTGAATTGTATGATAATACTTATGGTACGATGTGTTTAATGATATGTTTGACATATGATACGAGAAGGATGCATTGAACGTAATGTAATGATAGGAGTAAGATATGTTCATGAAATGTTAAGGTTAGGTTATGTATAGAAGTGCTATGGATATGAGAGATTGATAAAAACGATATGGTCACAATCGATTGATAAAAGAATATGGTTAGGTTATGGGTAAGAAGGGATAGGATTATGATAGATTGATAGAACGATAGCATTAGGATACGTTCCTGTAACGATATGACTAAGGTACGTTCATGTAACGATATGACTGTGATAGGTAGGTATAAGAATGTCAAGACTATGATAAATTAGAGAACAATATGACCATGAAGTGTTTACGATACGATATGATTATGATACAACATGTGAGTGACGTGTATATATATATATATATATATATTGTGATATGATATGAAAATGATATGAAATATGTTATGGTACGATAGGTACGAAATGTTACATCTTTCCATGTAAAGTTATTTGATGGATTATGTGATGTTCATCCATGTATATGTGATACATACATGAAGTATGTTCTTAAGAGAAGGAGAAAGGAAATAAAATAAATGTTATCTTATGAATAAAAGTCATGGGACCTCATGCATGCATGTATGCATGTCATGTGTATCAGGATACTTCCCCGTTATGTTATGCTAGTACGGATGCATACCTTCGATATTTATATTCGACATGTTATCATGAAGACCTTTTCTTTTATGAGGGGTCCAGTGACGTGTATTGCATTGTGTCCGACAAAGTCAGGCCTAAGGGGCACGTACACCAATCCCTCTGATGAGTCCACGTATGCGTACGTGGGCCGTGTGTAGAAAAGTACCATGCATCCAACTTTGCCAAGAAGCCTAAGGTCATGTTACGGTTTAAAAGATAGGTCACAGTCATATATTGTGTGTGATTGCATTACTAAACCAATAATATAACTTTACACGATATAAGGTGTTTGGTTCACTAGTTGTGTTTGTATATCCCAACACCATTTTCGCCTATATAAAAAAATTTAACAGCACCCTCTTGTAATTAAATATTATTTTGTATCTAATTTTGGTGTAGTTTATCTTCATTTAAATTTATATTTTATCCAATTTTTATGTTTTATTTTACTTTACTTTTCATTTTCTGTTTGCTTTTTCATATTTTTAGTTTTAGTCCCAGATCCAAATTCTTGAAAATCGGACATCAAAGAAGATTGTGGAACTACAATATAATATGTGAAACTTTTAATAAGATATATGAAAATTAAAGGATTGTGCCTTCCATCCTATTTGAAAGTCGATGTGAAGGTTGCAGTAACACGAGCGTTTAATACCTATTTTAGATTTTCTTATTCTAAACTATCTCTAAGATTTGTCATAAAAATCATTATTTTTTTTAGTTTTGATTTAAAAAGATATTACAATTTTAAAAACTTATACTCTCAGGCAAATTTAATTTTTTTTTTTCATAATTTTTCAGTTAATTATCAAATACATTTCCATACAAAAAAAATAAAAGAAAATAAAGAAGAAAAAAAAAGAAGAAGAAAACAACAACAACATGATTTATGTGTTATCCCATTATTTTTCATTTGTTTCTCAAGGATAATTCCACCAAAAGGAGATAATAGAGCTTCTCTATCTTTTATAGGTCCATTTGTGAATTAATTCATCAACATTAGCAAGAAAGTTTCTCAAGTAAATTCCATCATCTGCAGCCGTCCAAATACAAGTTCCTACAGTTCTATGTTTGCACCTGTCATGGAGCCATAAGTGCTGCGATTCAGGCCAAAAGCTTTCAAAAGAGACATATGCATCTGGCGTCTCCAACTTGCACCAAAAGAGGGTTGTTCCCCAAAAGTTAACCTTGAAGTTCCATTGGTAATCATCTCCATGATTAAGCAAATGATGATACCCCAAGTCATCGTCTTTAGACTGACAATGCACAAGCAACCCAAGTTTGCTTAGCCCGTTAACCACATGAATGTAATATCTAGAAGGTCCCGGTGGTGGTAACGCGACCCTTGGAACCTGAGCCCCAACTAGAGCCACCGTGAAAAGAAAGAAAACGACAATATTCTTTATCATTTCCTAATCAACCTTTAGTTTAACTACCAATTTGTGTTGGACATGTGAATAAATATACATACTTATAGTACAGGCAAGAAACTATGTAAATGCATGGTAGAAAAACTTAATCATTTAACTAATTTCAATTATGCAACACAATTTTATGGTTAATTTTGGGATAATTTTAGAGATTTATTAGATTTTCAATAACAAAATTCCTTGAATAGATAATAATAATATTTGATTTAAGTTGTTATTATCCCAAGAATAATAAATATTTCATTGGTTTTTAAAACACTTTCATATATTGGACAACAATATGAATACTTTCAGTAGAAAATACAAAATAGAGAGAGCAATTCATAGATTACATATGGGATAGCACCCAAGTTCAACAAGGTATTAAATACCTGATTTATTTTTTCAAGTTGAACTTTCAAACCTTTTACGAGGGCCTTAGAAATTTTAAAGTGAGGTAGAACAGATAAGTTCAAAAAATTCTAGAACTATAGTTTCGAATAGGAATTGCGCAAGACTTCTTTCGCAAGAATTACTCAATGCATTTTGGGAGAACCATTCTGGGGTTTTGATTTCATCATGTCACACCCTGAATTTCTAGGAAAATTTTTGCCAATCAATGTGTAAAAAATAAGAGGGAAACCAAAATGTGTATTAATATATGCCAAATTCATGTAATGAGGGAACGGGGAATGAGATACACGATTCCCTAGGTCCATAATTCCTCTGTTACCTCTAAACTCTAGAGTACCCTCTCGTCACGATTAAGCAACCTAATTGTAGTCTCTCATCGCATCCCTAACCTAGCAGGGAACCAATTGTTTACTTTTGGCTCTAGAGTTTCAACACTCTTGATACAAAGATCTGGGCAGAAAACTTATCCTTCGCAATGGTACAAGGTGGGGAACAACATGCAGAGTATTAGTCTCCTTGCATCCATGGGATTGTTAACTGGTGAATCCGTCCCACAGGCCATGAAGTAACCTAAGGTGAGGGGGTGCTACCCCTCGGTACATGCCACCTAAACAAGTTACTCACATGATCAACGGCCTCTCGTAGGACGGATCCTACGTGCAGGTAACTACTACCTAGCCTCGTGATTAATGTCCTAAAAACACGACGTGTCCACAATGCAGTGCAGTCGATCTACCACTGAGTAGCAAGCCTTGGACACAGGATTGTCAGGCGTATGGCTAGTGTCGTAAATCGTAGGGGGAGCGTCTTGGAGAATAAATCAAGAACATAATAAATACCTAGAAAGTAACAAGAACAAGAGAAAGATCTAGGTCTAGAACATGGATCAAGATCCTAGTTCCAAGTACAAGAACCAAGAACCATGGTACTAAGGCCTTTAAAGGATAACCAAGGTTTTAGAATCCTCGGACCATGATCCTTAGAATAAATCACGATAAGAACCCCAAGTCAAGAAAAAGTGGGCATAAGTACTTACAATAAGAAACAAGAACAAGACAAGAAAGAGTGTGACATCCTAGCATATCAACGACACGATTAAGAGCCTACAAGCAGGCTACATATTAAGTCTTTGTACTCATTCCTTATTCTCCATTTTTTTCAGGTAAGGAGCCGGTCGAAATCGGGAGTGGACTCTTGGGCAGGTGCCATAGACTAACCTCACCGGTCGTCCTCAACTCTTTTGTTTTAAAATGTTTTGAGTTCGTTTCTTATTTTGTGTTTAAAATATTGTCGTGCCCTAAATTACTAATGTGCGCACACTATTTTGTTATAATATTGTCTCACCCTCTGATCGCCCTTCACGATTCCATTGGTCTCAGACTTCTAAAGGTGTTCAATCCTAAGTCTCGACCCACCAATCTACGTGCTTACCCTAGACTTAACTCGATTCTGTTGCTTATTGATATGAACCAAGAGATATCGATCTTACAATATGGTTCAATGAAGATGTGAAGAAAATATTGTTGAAATTATTAAAAGATATTTCAATTCATGCCACATTGAGGAGAAATGAAGTTTCATGTTATAAATTTTGGGTGGATTACAATTTAGAGTAATTTAGAGTTATTGTATTTCATTAATGTATTTTAAGACTTTTATTTACCTTCGGTTACAATTACATAATGGTTAATTATGACTATTAAGTATGAATGTTACAACTCTTGGAATGCCTTTAATAGTTTCAGTTTCATTTTCAAGCTATATAAAGCCATGTATGTTGTATTTGTAAGTAGACTTGGAAAATATAGTAAAAGGAGCATTTGTGCTTTTCTTTAGCCAATGGCTAAGTTTCTTTGAATTCTATATAGTTTAGGTTGCATGTAGAATCATTCGAGCTCGACATGATCAATCTTGCTTGTGGTGTGATTTCAATCTCAATCAAGTGTTCTTCCCTTGAGATATTTGATCAACAAGAATCATTCAAGCTAGACATGATCGATCTTGCTTGTGGAGAGATTCGAATCTCAAACAATGTTCTTGCCTTGAGATATTCGATCAACAAGGTAATCCGAATCTTACTCCCCTTGTAGTGATTTCCACATATCAGGTCCTCTAACCCTTAATTCAATTCAGGAGTTTATTGAAGAATAGTAAAAAGGATCGGCTAGTTGAATGAAATTAAAGTGGTAGGAGGATACTACCGTATTATTAACTTCAAATACATTATATGTATGCATAAATTCATACATCTCGATCCTTAACCAACCTTAGGAACTAAACCAACAACGTCCTTAATATTGACCTCAACTCAAACTCGTGAACAATCGATGTTCAAAATTCTCGAACTCCCAGCTAGAATCTTCTGTGCTTTCACATTAGGATTCTCTTTCTCTATGATCATAGCAACAATAGAATACTCTACAAAAACAAGCTCCGGCCATTGCTGTTTTCCTATCGTTTTGGGGCATTACAATAAGTTATTCTAAAGTTTTGAAGAAGATAGAACAAAATACGGTGAGGGGAAGAACAACCTGGACATTCAAACATCTTGATCTTCTTTGATTTCGGTTTGGATATGGGTTAGGGAGTTGAGTATTTATAGCCATTAATGAACTTCAAAGCTCTCTCAAAGATTACAAGTTTGGGAGCCCTCAGATTTTTGGAGTTTTGGTTAGGACAACATAATTTGTGTATGGTTTATTCTTGTGGATCAAAATGAGATAAGCATTTTTTACTATGAGAAAGTTATTTCGAAGGCATTGGTAAAATAAGTGATATTGTTTGGAAGTTCATTTAAATATTATCTTTATATATTTATATTATTACATAGATTATTACCATGTCGTGTACTTGGAAGACAGGTCGACACGAAGTAACGGTTGTCGGATCTCGAATAGAGGAGCGCTAGAACACAATTTTCAAAAGTGAGAGAAACGAACAAAAACAACCGTTGGACAGTCGAGTGAAAAAGACACAACCCATGGATTCAAGGAAACCCATCTACAGCGAGTGACCCACAGGCCACTTGACGTTCACAGCCCAGCAACCCACGGGGCCTAGTAGACGCTCACGGCCGAAAAACCAACCTGCAGCCCACGACCCACACAATCCAGCAAATACAACTCGTACGTTTGAGAAGACGACCTGCATATGCTCCATCCTTCTTACACGTGCATGATGCATGTCTCCCTATCGCTTCACTCGGCTCGACGTTGCTTGGCACAACTTCATGGCTGCAACGAAAGGAAAATGGCTCAGGTGGCTCAAGTTTAGGTTTTGGTATCAATTCCAACGTTTTTTTACCCTCCCGGAGTTGAATTTGAAGTTATTGGAAGAAATTGAGGTCTGTGTAAGTCTCGTTTATTCAATTTAAGTAATTAAGTAAATATGTAAGAAGTAAAACTATTTGAAGAATTAGACGGATGCTCTTAATATGGTGGAATACCTCATTGTACGTCGTTACGAACTTTGAGGGACTAGTCAAGCGAATCTCAGAAATAGGATAGAGTGTCGGCTAAGGGCAACCAAGTTGGTGGCCCTACTATTTGCAAGGTCAGAAGAGTTGTCTTGTGTATGATGATACGTACTCAGTGGTGCACAGGTCATGCATTTGACAATACGATACGTTATGATGATGTGATACGTTATGAGGATGTGTTATGATGATGTTATGATGATATGATTTTTTATATGACATTATGATGTGTTATGATGATGCTATGTGTTGGGTTTTATGTCCTAAAACTCATAGTTTGTAAACAAAAAAAAAACATATTCTATTTTCAATAAAGTTATTATTATTGTTTATTCAGTAAAAATTGTTATTGTATAAAGTAAACTTTACGATCATTAATCTAAATCCAATAAACTAAGAACACTCTGATTATAGTATGATTACTTGAACTATATGTAGAGACATAAGAGTGGATCAAGTTCAAGTATATAGTCAAAATGATCTATAGTATAAGGATAAGGCTGAGTACCTTATTCTGGGGACACTATGGATGCGGCCCACTTTTGTATATAATATAAACAATGTGATCACTAAATTGTACATGTGGAAACATGTGAGTGGGGCGTCCCATGCAATGAGTATTGCATAAGATCGGACCATGAAGAAAACCAATCTCACTTTATAATGTCGTTTACTGTTGAGACTGATTTTCTTTTCATTCGATAACCTAGGTAACTCGGTTTTAATCCTGAGCTAACCATGAACTCTTGTTTATTCGGAATTATCCTTAGATTTTCATGGGTGAGAGTGGCTCTAGTTCACCGACTCAATAGGCCTCCCATTTCAGGGGTAAGACTGGGTGAATGGCTGGGGACGTGGGGTGCAAGACGGAATTCACTCCTACCCGCTTTTAGGGATAGAAGAAAGGTAGTTCCCTTAAGCACTGACTCCAGGTCTTGAACAAAGGGCCCCACCCTCTCATTGGCCTGAGAGGGATTCGGTTTACTGGTTGGACCACAAACCAATTGTTCATTAGAGGATCAGTGAGACATAAGGAACAAGAAGTAACTTCAGGGGTAAAATGGTAAATTGACCCAGCTCTAGTTATGAACAACCTGTGAAGGATCGACTTACTAATCATGGTTATATCAAATGGACAGAAATATATCTATAGTGAGGGGAGTGCAACTACTAGGCTATAGTGGAGTGTCCTAGTAGTTAACGAATGTTGGTTAACCAGGTTAATGAGTTTAACCGGTTAATCTTGGATCGTTGGAGCCCATGATCTATAGGTTCATTAGGTCCCTCTGCTAGCTCATATCGGACTAAACCATAGAACAGTGTGACGAGCGAGTTCGAAGTGTTCGAATTCAAATTCTGGAATATGCGTTACATATATACAATATATTTAACAGCAATTTTGTTTTATTTACGAATTAAACAAAAAGAGAGAATCTGAGATATTTAAATAAGATTTGAATATCTTAATCAATTATGTGTCGGAATTGATTGGGATTGGCATTTGAATCAATATTAAATAGTTTAATTAATAAATTAATGTTACTTTAATTTGAAATTCATTATTCAAATTAATTGATGAATTAAAATGAAGAAAGTCAAAATGTTGACTTCATCTACTGTAAAAATCCATGTTAGTGGAATTTTGAGGTGTCAAAATTTTGTTTACCAAACTTGCATGTTTGCCAAATAAACCCGAGAAGTTTGAATGGAATTTTGAGTGTCAAAATTTGGTTAACTCAAACATGCATGCTTGCCACATAATCCCAAACATTTGAGTGAAATTTTAAGTGTCAAAATTTGGTGATCTCAAATTTACATGAACATGCAAACATGACTCTTTAAATAGAGTGATCATGATACATGGGAAGTCCTTTTTTTTTATCTTGGTGAAAAACCTTGAGAAAAACCTCTCACAAACACTCGCTTCACATATACAAAGTCCCTCCCAAGTTTAGTCACTCACCGGATTCCACAATTCCGTTCTAAGGCCGGAGGATAGTGGAGAAGACACTAGTGGTGGTTCGAAATCGGTCCGTGAGGCAAAAGGAGTTTGAACTACAAAAGGTTAGTATTTAAACTCATTAAGTTTTAATACATATGAACATGCTAGTTATTTACAATAATTGATGTTCTTTTTTTTTATCTTGGTGAAAAACCTTGAGAAAAACCTCTCACAAACACTCGCTTCACATATACAAAGTCCCTCCCAAGTTTAGTCACTCACCGGATTCCACAATTCCGTTCTAAGGCCGGAGGATAGTGGAGAAGACACTAGTGGTGGTTCGAAATCGGTCCGTGAGGCAAAAGGAGTTTGAACTACAAAAGGTTAGTATTTAAACTCATTAAGTTTTAATACATATGAACATGCTAGTTATTTACAATAATTGATGTTCTAAAAGTGCCTAAGATCCAAATTGCTTTCGTATGTGTTATATTAACACCATCACTATGATGTTATGATGACGTGATGTACTATGTTACTATACGTTAGGATGATGATGCATTATGATGTGATGACATGAGATGCATGATGATGATGATGATATGACATAATACGAGGATATCTCATGTTATGATGATGTGCATGTATGAAATGACATGTTGCATTACAATGAGTTTTCTAATACACAACTCCCAAATGATGAATGTATGAAAGCTTATGCATGCATGTTAGTTAGAGTAATATGTGAAGAATGTGTGGGGTTGTGTCACGTTAATGATTTTAGGATGAAAAGTATCGGGACCTCATGCATATTGTATACTCATTTACATCGAGATACTTCTCCTTTTACAATCATGAGTACGGACGCATACACTTTGGTGATGATGATGATCATGTCTTGCATGTATTCAAGGGTTTGTTATATCTTCAGACGTCTAGCTACAGCCAACTAGTCAGACTATGATGAGCCCAAGGGACATGTGAACTTCCTGGTGGGCTTATGCTCGCACGTGTAGGGCGTTGTAGGGAAGTACTACACATTCAATTTATCCGAACTCGAGGCCACCTCTAAATGATAGGACTCTAATCAAGATTGCATGTGTTTGCACTCCTTACTCCCAATAGTGGGCCACCTCTAAATGATAGGACTCTAATCAAGATTGCATGTGTTTGCACTCCTTACTCCCAATAGTGGGGTCACTTACAATGATAGGACTCTAATCAAGATTGCATGTGTTTGCACTCCTTACTCCCAATAGTGGGGTCACTTACGGAGTATTTTTAAAAATACTCAAACCATGTGCTACTTCTACATTTTAGGTAAACGCAAGGTACCCACATGCGGTTGATAGCAGCATCACAATTAAAAACCATGACACATGTATAGGATAGTTGCATTTAATTTCATAAATCTTAGGTTAGTACCGTGCATTGTTATTTTTACTTCTACTTACGTTTATTTTAATATTTCCTTTGCATTGTTTTAAAATCCTTTTATTAAACATGTAAGTTTATTTCCGTGTTTCATGAGGTTATTTAAATTAATATTTTTGCATAAGAAGTCATTTCATGCATATGGTAGTGACTTTAGGTTAGTAGAAACAAAGGAATTTATAGAAATTCGACGTGAATTGCAAAGAAATTTAAAATAAATGTTAAATTTAAGATTTGGGGTCTAAAACAAACCAGGGTGGATTTCTTTCAAACTAGAAGAAACAAATAAATGATATTGGTCTGTGTTTAAGAATTGGGATCTTACCAACCGATGTGGGATCTCACAATCCATCCCCTTGGGGGCCAGCGTCCTCGCTAACACATTGCCCGGTGTCTGGCTCTAATACCATTTGTAACCGTCCAAGCCCCACCGTTAGTAGATATTGTCCTCTTTGGGCTTTCCCTTATGGGCTTTCCCTTATGAATCAAATATGATTATGAACTCATGTTTTGCACAATCTGATTCCAAGTACTCCCTCCCAGGGACCTTGTGGAAAGTGACCATTTTGAACAAAATGAATGGTTTAGCTATGTTGGTTCACTGCAAGTCAAAAGATGACGATTTGGGTGAGCACCAGATCGGCCCTGGAGGCAATTTCAATTGGAGCTTTAGAGAAAACTTTTGGCAGACAACACTATATTGGTGCAATTTTAAGAGCATCCTAGGACATGCTTCTGGTGAAGTATTTT